ACTGCACGTCGTACGAAAATTATCGTCGTTCTTGTCCGGAACCGTGTGTTCCACTCCACACAGATTTCTCCAGCGAGGGTGGAGGAGGCGCGAAGCCTCTAACTTCCCGAGCGAAAGTTTGCTCGAGCACAGAACAGAGAGACGCCTTGAATTATTCCGACTACGAAACGCCAAGGCACGCGACGTATCATGAGTTTCGATAATATTTTACAACCCTCTGGATAATCTTTCGTATCCTTAATCGTTTCTCTTCCTCTTCTGTTTCTTCTTTTCAGATTTATTTATGCGCGTTGATCGTGATATTACCGATTCTTTTATTGCGAAAACGAGCCATTTATTCCCCGTTTAACGACGAATTTTCTCCTTCCGCTCGCGTATAATGGCATTCTCCTCTCTTCGTCGAGCATAAAGTTCTTCTCCTCGATATTCTCTGTCTTTAATACGCTCAGAGAAGCTGCAGCCTCGTGATAGTGTGTTTCGAAAGGAGAAACGTAGATGGTATCTACGCGATACCATCGTCTGTCGCAACTGCGAGGAAATTTTCGAACAATTCAATAGGTACACGGAACGCGCGTTTAAGACACAATAAAGCGATGCGTATCGCTCGACTCGATACGTGTTTCCTTTGCTGGCGAATTACTGAGCAAAGGGCGAGGAAATGGCTGAATAAAATTCGCGATCGCGATTTCGCCTGACAGAGAAGGAGGAGATCATCATCATCATCGTGGATTGGAATTTGATTTGCAGCCTGATGGCCCTGGTGCGCCATGGATATAAAGTTTCCACGATGGAAAGACCTCGACGTCTAACTTCTTTTCCCACCAATCATCGGGCTACCTTGAGAGACGCCTAAGGTGAAGTTCACTTGTGTAAGGCTCGAACAGGGAACGTGGCACCGAATCGAATGAAAGTTCGTGTACAAATACCTGACGAAGTGTCCTAAAATTGTCAAGATGGAATAACGTGCGAAAGAAAAAGTCGGACGAGCGTAAATATCCAGATCCTAGAAATCTGCCAATTGAGAGAGGACATTCTTGCAATATGTTTGTCTTTCGTAACGTCCAGAAGAAAGAAGATTTCAATGGTCAATAGCTTACTTTAGTCGCTATAAAGAGGGTGGGGATAGCATCAGACTCTTAATCTGAGGGTCCAGGGTTCGAGGTCCCTGTTCGGGCAAAAAAAAGACATTGTCCTTTAGGACAACAGCACGGGAGAGCTCTGTGTGTATAAAAAGGTCCCGGAGCTCTCCCAACGTGCAGAGTACGGTCATCGTGGAGATTTTAGTCGGTAAAAATCCGACACTACCTGGGATCTTCCCTTAAAAGACTCAGGTGTCTTATGAGGATTTCCTCCACGTAAAAGAAAAAAAAAAAAAAAAAAAAAAAAACTGAGGAGGCACGCAAGGTTACAAAATTGATAACTCGTAAATACACAAAAAAAAAAAAAAAAAATTCTCCCGTCACTTTTGATACTTCAGGTTGTCACAAAGTTCATTGTTGCACCTGTAAATAAGCGAAGGGAAGTGGAACGAAAGACAAAAGATACTGACCTGCAATCGTTGTCTGAGAGTGGGCTTGAGCTCGGCGCGCATCCTCTCGAACCGGAAGACCCAGGCGACCCCGATCACAGCGTCGCCGAACAGCAGCGCCAACAGCAGCACCCAATAGGCGTTCAAGAGTCTGGCGCTCAATCTCCTCGCAGCTATGCAACCCAACAGTTGCACCAGGCCCAACTGCGTGGCCAACGCCAAGTATGCGTAAAGGGCGGTCGGGTCGAACGCGCGTGGCACCCCTGGCACCACGTACCGGCGTGGATCGCCGGTGAATAAAAGTGTTCGTGAGACCGCGGCGGCGAAGCCGAGCGCGCTACCGAGCAGCACCAAGTTACAGGTGTAGATCCAGAGCCGGTAATATCGCATCGCGACGTCCTGGCCACAGTCGGCGCGTCTTTGGGACGTCACCGACGCCGCCGCCTCGTCGGCGACGTACGAACGATCGCTGTCTCTTCTGTTGCCTTTAAATACTTCGTTGTTGTTGTTGTTGTTATTGTTGTTATTGTTGATGTTGTTGTTGTTGTTAGTTGTCGTCGTGGTGGTCGTGTCGATGGAGTGTCGATGCTCCTGACTGTCGTCGAGCAGGAATAAGAAAGGCGGCTTCGCGCTGCAGTCCTTGTTCGCTGTCTTTTGGCTGTGCGTCGACTGCGGGGTGACTGAACGTTGCAGCAGCATCACCGTCATACTATCGGTGCCTCCCTGGTACGCGTGTCCTCGTCGTTAAGGATTATACCGTCCGGCTTGGAGAATGGAAGCGGGTGTGTTTATTGAGAGACCGGGGAGGGCAGTCTGCTCCCGCGGAGGTGGACGAGAAACGTGCAGTGAGAAACGACGTGTGTCACGCGAGCCACATTGCACGCCCCGGACAGTAGTCCGTTCTGTTTATTGCGGGCTTCCCGGCCAACCGTTTCTAGAACTCGCTCGTTCCCTCTTTTCTTCGCCTTCTCCTTCCGCTTACTTCGTCTTCGTCTTCGTCTTCCTTTCCTTCTTCTTCCACGGTTGCAACCGCTGATGATTTCTACACCGGAAGAAATTGGAAAAGATCATGGTAATGATGGCGACGACGCTAAGCAACGGGGAGAGACTGATCGCTGTAAGAATAAGCTCCGAACGATTTACGGCGCTTACATGCATGCCTCGGACATGCTTGCACGCGGCTCGATAGTTTACAGCGACCACTCTGCGTTCACTGGGTTAGGGGATTGTGTCGCCTCTGTGTTAATAGATTGATTAGGACCCGTTTGATTGCGGATTACAATGCTGCCCAACTACTGCCTGTCTGACCAATTATCTGTCTGACTAATACACTTTATCGCCTGATTAACGAGCCACTCGATTGTTACATCTATTTTTCAGATCTATCTATCGAAATGTGTTTCCCCTGTCGGTTATCAATATTCAACGTCACTATCGTATTGCTATTGATTACTCGTCGTTTCCGTTTTTCGTAAAACGCGACGGTGTGTCACGTTACGTCGACGCTCTCGAATAATTCATAATGAATGTCAAGAGACGAAGAATCACGATCTTCCTTTGCGAATCGAGTTGGAATCGCGTTATCGACGTTTCCTCGGGGAGAAACTCGAAGTCGAGACTCAGGCGAGAAACCTCTCGGATCGAAAATCGACCTAAACAGGATCGAAATAGAAACCGATCGAATGTGTCAACCGTTTGTTCCGGTGTGACAACAATACGCGTTGCAGATTGGTGACGACGATGTAATAACGTTCCCCGATGGGGAACGATTTATCTTCTATATCGGATAGATGATCGTTGCGTCACACAGTCGCCGTCGGATCTCCCCGTTTCTCTGTCGTTGGAACAAGACTGGAAAGCACAGGAAATTGGTAAAAATATCGTCTCGATGAACTCTCACGAGGGGGCAACGTGCAGGCGGTAAAACCTCGCATGATGTAAAATTCACCGTGGATATTACAGGCACGAGGCCACCCGAGTTAATCCCGAGATTGTCGAGACATCTGGACGGCGGAGATGGTGCCAGCAGGCTGAATACATTTTTCGGGATACATAAACCAATGGCTGTCGACGTTTCCAGAGAAGAAACGCTACGAAGACATTGAAGAGAGCGTTTTGGAATTTTCTGACACTCTCAAACTGATGACACGGTGATTCAAGAGAGAGGAGAGACTCGGCTTGCTGATTATTCCTGAACTGAAATCTCGCAAATTACAGCGATTCCATCGAGATTGGTGGTTTTTTTTTTTTTCATGCAGTTGGAAGGACACGCGTAACCGCGTACTATCTGATGCACGAGAGAGAGAGAGAGAGAGAGAGAGAGAGAGAGAGAGAGAGAGCGTTAGACAGATACAGCAGGTAGTAATTATTAGCCTTCATCGTGATAGATCACGTTGTAGCAACCATCGTACGCGGCGAAACGGCACGAACGGGTGTACCTCGCTAAATTGTATTTCTTTCTGACAGTTCTAGCGTGCAATAGGCAATTCTATTATCGATCTCAGTTAGCTGGCCAGCAGCTGTGTTGCGCCTGTGTTCCCTCGGCACTCGGCTGCGAAGAAAAAGACGAACGACTGCGAAATGAGCAATACGAAATGAAACGAAACGAAACGCGGAGCGCCAAGAGTTTCAGTAAATAGAAGCTGCTGGCGCGAGAGAAACAACAACGATGAAAATTCCGAGGGAAATGTTTCTCTCGGTACATCTCTCGCTACGAGAGAATCTACGCTTCCGTTGGAGTTGTGTATCACAGTTTCAGACGAGAGGAAAATGAGAAATTGCGTACCGAGGTAAAACTAAAGAATCAATTCGATTTGTTTACTGTACACGACTCCTTTTAGATAAAACGGAGGATCCTGTTCTTAATAACTTAATCAGTGGAATCTAGACAAGAAATGGCAAAAGAAAGCCAGTAACGATTTATCCTATTTCACTTTTAAAGTGTATTTCACTAGATAAAATCAGCAGGCTGTTGATTAAAAGTGCCAATCTTCTAAACGCCCCACGCACATCTGCCTTCGATAATTGAATTATTAGAATCCGGAGGAAAGAGAATACTATACTGTACAGCGTCAGTGCCAATTCGATTAATTCCACATATCGTACGTGCAGAATATTTTTAGTCAAAATTACTGGAATTTCGATTCAAATGCCAATCCTTTTCCGTTCACAATTTAAATATTCTTGTCTCTCACGGGATAAGAGACAAGTCGCTATCGATATTCACTCCATCCTGTATGAAGGATATTTTTTGGAAAAGAATATCCCTCTCCTATCCAGAGAGTATATATAAATTTCTTCTCAGCCGTACAGGTTCTCCTTCAACGTCTGATAACTGGACTCGATGTACGACGGTGAGAAATACGATGCAAAAGGATAGAATTTTTCAAAGCCACGAGAGGGATGATACTGTCAGATGTGTTAGACCGGATCGAGCGCAGGCATCGATTATTTTTAATAGGAATCGTATCAGCAACACCGCCGGGAATCGCGTTTCTTATTAGACGACAACTTACGTCAAACACGAGCTCTCATCGCTTTCATCTGCTTCAAATTAGATGAAGTTCTCGCTCACGCAGAGAAGAGAGAAGGAGGAAGCGAAGCGAGCGCGAAATAGATTGGAATGTCGATCGTGGGACGAAATGCCGCGTGGCTTGGTCATCCTGGTGAAACGAATTCACATTAACGGAATATTTATTTAGAGCTGACAATAAAATGTTGCACACGCGGATAAACAGCCCTCGGTTGGTGTCTCTAAAGTTGATGATGGCTTCTCACGCTGAAAAGAAGCTCGGCAAATACGGCAAATACGTGGCAAGTGTATGTCTATTTCGTTAATGAGAATTTTCACTTTGGCTCTGCGCGTTCTTCACTCATCGAAAGCCGGAAAGATCGACGAATGAATTCGAAGAGCGAGGATTGTACGTTCACTCTAGTGTGAGTACTTTGCACACGGTGCGAGTATTAATCGGTTTAATGGCTTTATCTTTATAGGATACGCCGAGCCGAGAAAACCTGGGCTAATGTATTCATCCGGAGAAGTAAAATGGAAAAAATCTGAGTTAACAAGCTGCCGCTCGACTGCGAGAATAAGACTATCCTGGCCGAGCGACACGTAGCGGGAGGCAACTTTTTGCAAGTTGCTTGGCCTTTTTTTACCGCTTTATTTTAGATCTTCTGCCCTGGAGGTGTCCCGAGGCTGTTCAATGATTTCTACTCCAAGTGACTTTACTCTGTCGAACATCTGTGTGTGAGTTCTAGCATTACGGCTTGCTGAAATTGTCATTTTGAACAAACGCTGACAAGATGGTACGTGAGTTGAAGACGGTCGGATCTATTTAAAGCATCGTCGAAGGAGAGCTCCGCCGCTGATGATGAGGATCGTGATACCGTTCGATATCATGCTTCACCGGCGATTGCCAGATAAGATACAATCGCAACGTCGAAGATTTAAGAGATCCACGGGAAAGAGAAACGTGACAGAATGTCAGGATAGCTGAATTAACGGGTTCGAGTTCTTGGCACAGCTGGAAGACGTACCTAGGACACGTACGGTTGGGAATCACTGCGTCAGAGTTCTCTCTCAAGCTCGTGTCGGAATATATGTAGCTACGTGTATAGATAAACACATGAAGAGAGAGAGAGAAGGAGAAAAGTGGAGACGATACATGCATCCCGTGCTTCAGAAATGCACACATGTCCAGGTATTCGTACACGTATGTGTACTTACGTGTGGGTGGTTAAGTGCACGTTGCGCGCGGGGATCTAAGAAAAGAAAGTGGGTAAACAGAGACGAGGGGATCGGGAGACGGAGACAAGAAAAATCTCGTCGTCGATAAATTCGCCAAGATCTCCGCGAAAGAATAGAAGAGAGAGAGCATTGTGTTGACTCTGCGCGCTCTTGAGAACACGTTCTCTCGTGCATCGATGTTATACATAGAGAGAGTTGAAGCAGAGAGTAGTGCATTGTAATGAAACACGGAAGAAAGTTAAGGGCCCATCGATCGTTTAAACCCTCTGCGCGCTTGCTCGAATACACGAGCCAGTTAGAAGGAAAGTCAACCTAAGCTAAGAGCAAACGAACAAACGTTTAATTTTAATAACAACGAATCGTCGAACGTCGAACGAATATCAAGGAATCGACTGAATACCAAGCAATGAGATCGCAAAGGATTGAAACAAAAAAACAAAAGGTTGGTACACATACAGTCAATGTCCTGGGTCAATGCTCAGGCTGTACACTGTTCAGGTTCGTGCGAGCACCGGTGAAAAAAAAAGAAAAAAAAAAAAAAAAAAAAAAAACGCGAATACAATCGATCCCCACGGGATGATCCTCTTCTTTTTTTCCACCGTTGTCGCGTTAAGAGAAATAGAGATCTTCTCTAGGCTCGGGACAGAGGGTGAAGAGAGAGACACCTGACCTTGCCCAGTGAATTAAACGACATCGTGAGCTGCCTCCGCAGGAGAATAGGTGTCGGTGTCTTTTTTAATTAAAATTCCTTCGTTACACGACAAACGTAGCGAAAGCGAAGGAGGGGAGGGGGGGGGGTAGAAAAAAGAACGAGAATAAAGAATGGGAGAAGAGTGGGAAAGGATGGCTCTGTGCTTTTAATTAGCTATCAGTGCGAATTGTTTGTTACCGTTTGAAGGAGAGAGCCCGGTTATAGCGAAGGAGGGAAAACGGTGAAACAGTGAGTCGAGAGGGGAAACTCGAGCGAGTCGAGGACGAGGGGTAGAGGAGAGGGGATCGACGTTATGCAATTTTCCTCTCGACCTTCCCGAAGGAATTTACCATCGGTTTCCTACGAGCCTCTTTTCTTCCTCCTTTCGTTGCATTCCAACGACGAAACACGAATTTATTCGACGACCAATTCCGTTATCACGTAGCCCCGCCTCGATCGGCTACATCTTAAATGGAGGCACATTTCTGCAAAAAGATCCCTGGAAACCTTGTTGTTCAACGAACGATTGTACACGTTTTGTACTATCTTTCGTCGTACGTGTATGT